TTAGTAACTCTTTCCTCCAGCCCTCAGTTATGGACAGAGGGAGACCACTGGAGGCCTATTATTTCCCATGTAGATCCCACAAATGTAGCTTGTGCTCCCATTGTCATGCAGAGCCTTCTGCAAACCAAATTCTCACAATGTTGGCTCTGATACTAATCCCTCCTTTGACCAGATTATATGATTTACAATCCTTCAGTGACTGCTAATGGTGTGCTTCTTCTAGTGTGGACTTAGTTGACATCGCACTTAGATAGCTGCTTGTTTGCAGACAAGCCTTTAAGACCCCAGGCACTATTTTATCAGATAACTGGGCACCATCTAATTTCTTCATCACGTTTGGCTATAGCACCATAATAATCTCTGTTCCTTTCCTGAGGGCCATGATGTAAGAAGTAATCGTTATTAAGTTGGAGCTAGGATTTAGTGTGAGCTCCAAACCCATTCCTGGATCTATGTTTTTGCTTGTTCGTTTTTAAATCTGCCTTTGGCTCCCTTTCCAAACCTCCTTGTTAATTTGTGGTAGAGAGTCTTATTGATCATTAACACCTGGCACTAATTTTTGTAAAGCCCTGTTGAGAGGGGGATATTGGGCCAATGTAGGTTAACTCCATATCACAGTACCTGAAAGATTCATTTGTACAGAATCAATCCTTTCGTGGCTGGATATTATTTACACAATGGGGGTTAACTGTCAGGGAAAATTTATAATAAAAATCACTGAGAAAGTCAGTCACAGGTTTGCTGGAATACTACATACTACATATCTTAATACAGCATATAGATCTTTGATGTAGCAAGACCGTGTTTCTCCACCTAGCAACAGTTCAACAATCTCAGACACCATGTATTTTCCAACTTATGTCCTCAGGTGACAGGTGTGTTGGAGGTAGAGTCCAGTTCACCCAGTGGAGTTTCCATCCGAACCAGATCTCACTGGTGCAGCCTCTGGAGCATGCCATGCATCTTGAAGGTCCAGGCTTCAATGCCCCAGCATTCCATGGCAACCGGCCTGAGTCCCCAGGATGTACCCAGAAGCCCTGGTCTAGGTGACCGTTCGGTACATACCACCAGGGACACTCCTCCTCTAGGATCCCTTAAAGCATCTTCAGTCATTCTTTCCCCCCCAGTTGGAGGTCAGGCCTCCCTTTTTTCCTACCAACAGATGTGCATTTGTGTTCCCCCAGACATGTTTGTTTCCTTCCCCCTCTCCTGACTTGTTCTTCCCCTCAGAATCCCTCCCTCTAGCAGACTGGATGCCCCTCAAACCTGAGCTTGAGCCTATTTTGCTGCTGGTTCCTAAAGCAGTGGACGATATTCACCAGCAACCAGTGTGTCTCCACCCTTACTGTTTCTAGTATTAATTTCCTAAGCTCTGTTTTGAAACCAGCTTCACAGGCAAGTATTTTACTAACCAACTTTAAAGGCCACTCCTATGAGGAAACCAGAATAGCTGAAGTTACAATTTAAAGTTGGGAAATTCCTTATAGCCTTTGGCATATGTGTTATTGCTAAACAAGCCCAAGTTTTGCCTTTACCTCCTCTTATTTGCTTTGCCAACAGATTTGTTGATCTGAGTTTTGCCTTTCTTGTCTGAATGTCTTATTGTTGTCGTGCTTTGTTGGCACTGCGAAGCTTGCAGAGCAGCTGCTATTATGGCAGCCTTGCTAAGATTAAAACAAAAACAGTTTTCTCAGGTTTTGATACATAACTTTTCCATATGAAGAAAGTTTCCTACTATTACTAACTTCAACTCCTACTAAAAAGAAGTATCATAAATGTTATACCAATATCATAAATATACTATTTTCTGTATCTCTGGGATAATTCTATTATTATTTTTTCATTAATATTGATTATATAGGACTACATGGACAGATCTTTCTGATGTAAAACTCTTAGTATATCTGAAATAAAGCCTACCTGATCATGATGTATTATGAATCACATAGTTGAATTCAGTTAGCTATTATTTTATTTAAGACTTTTGCCTCAAGGGCATTTATAGAGGTCTAAATAAAGGCATGTACATACATAAATATATTTATATATGAGTATGGGGAAATAGATCTATGT